TTAAACCCGGATGGGCTCTTAAAAATGGTTTTCTTCACTTAAGAATGTTAAACATGGCAATATAAACTGACACAGACCCTTTAAAAACATAAAATAAGAAATATCTCTCCCGTTTTATGGTTCATACATGGTGTTGGATGCTTGTTAGCTTTCACAGGCCTCTATTTTAGCCTGTACAGTGTTACACCTCATCTACGGGGAACTATTGGCCAGGAGAGCTCGAGGGATGAATTGCAGTGTCATTAGTTCGTTTTAGGCAAGGCAATGCTTCTCTGAGCCATTTAGTTATAATACACAAGGCAATGCTTCTCTGAGCCATTTAAGTTATAATACACTGCCCATTTTGGTATGCGAAATGCAGAGCATATATAAGCTGGTATGCTACAGGTCAGAATTATGTGGGATGTTACACGTATTTAAAAGAACATGGTACTTCAGCAGTACCCAACTGCTAGTTTGTAATATGGTACTTCAGCAGTACCCAACTGCTAGTTTGTAATATGGTACTTCAGCAGTACCCAACTGCTAGTTTGTAATATATTTTGTTTTACTGTGATTAGAAGTGGACAATTGAAGTTTGATGCTCTCTTTTGAATCTTATAACTGCGACATTCCTTTTCTGGTATCTTACTCAGTGCATTGTTTACAAGTTCAAGTACAAAAGAAAAAGCTGACAAAGCCATGGAAGGAAAATAAAATATGTATATACTTTTCATACACATAATTGTAGTTGTTTATTTTTGGGAACATCTTAAAGGATTGCAAAGGAAACACAATTACATAATTTGTTTAAACCTATGGATAGCCTTGTGTTTATGTAAATAATATGATATGGTAAGGGTTCTTCTATCTCTGTCTGTTCATACATTTGTAAAAAAATGGGGGGTGGGTTAAACAAATAATATGGACATTAATAAATAGCAAAATTGTTAACCCTTTCCGGCCCAGCATTCCTTTAACAAGGTTTATACATCTGGGGGGGAAGGAAGGATCGGCAATCACATGACCATTGTGATTAGCTGCCACAGTGGTCACATGATAGTTGGCCAGTCCCGCTGACTACCAACCATTAGTAGCCTGTCTTTGACAGCTCAGTCTCTGCGCTAGGAGCACAGAGTGCTCACAGCAAACATTGACTGCCCAGTGACACATACACTATATTGTCAAAGATATTTGGAACACCTGAATCCAATGATTTGAAGGGGTGTCCTATCACCTCCGTGGCCACAGGCCAAATGACAGAGCGGGGTCAGCACTTGCTAAAGCACACAGTCTGAAGGTCTTTAGCAATTGACTCTGCAGACAGTTGGAAACTTCTACAAACTTCGTATGGCCTTCAGATTGGCACAACAACAGTGCATGGAGAGCTTCATGGAATGGGTTTCCATGGCCGAGCAGCTGCATTCAAACCTTACATCACCAAGTGCAATGCAAAGGGTTGGATGCAGTGGTGTAAAGCATGCCGCCAATGGACTCTAGAGCAGTGGAGACGTGTTCTCTGGAATGACTAATCACGCTTCTCTGCCTGGCAATCCGATAGATGTGTCTGGGTTTGGTGGTTGCCAGAAGGGTACTTGTCTGACTGCATTTTGCCAAATGTAACATTTGGTGAAGGAGGGATTATGGTATGGGGTTGTCTTTCAGGGGTTGGGCTTGGCCCCTTAGTTCCAGTGAAGGAAACTCTTAAGGCTTCAGCATACCAAGACATTTTGGACAATTTCATGCTCCCAACTTTGTGGGAAGAGTTTGGAGATGACCCGTTTCTGTTCCAACATGACTGCGCACTAGTGCACAAAGCAAGGTACATAAAGACATGGATGAGCGAGTTTGGGATGGAGGCGCTTGACTGGCCATTCATTTTTGTTTTGTTTAGCCCCCTGGCTGAATGAAAAAAAAAAGATGCATCTATGGCTAGCCCAGCTTCCCCTTATGTACCTGACCTTCAAGTATCCCAGGTGTCTCTCTGTCAAGCCTCTTCTGTCTTAGCTCCTCCTCCCTGTCAGGTCTCTCTCTCCCATTCTTATCCTAGTTAGTTCCATTCACCATCATTAAGGAAGCTCTGATTGGTCCAAACTGCACAATCATATCTTTCCTTTCCAAATCACATGTGGTTTAGTCACTGCTCCTATGTGAAACCAAGCTTGTCATAGCTCACACAGGAGCGGTCCAGGAAACTTCCCTGCAGGGATCCCATGCTGAGTGGAGAGTGGGCATGTAGGAATGTATACTATGGTGTCAGATGCTCCATATACACAGTGGTAGAGAATAGTTCCATTAAAAATCCCTACCACTTTCTCTTAAGGAGAGAAAGCCACTTCACAGGTCTAGGGATTTTAAATCCCTGTGGCTTTCTCTCCTCTCCTTTGCAGGGATGACAGTGTGGACTAGGACTTTTTGATTGGTCAGCACCACCACAAGGATGGTGTTGACCAATCAGATGCCATCTAGCCCAAAAAATCCCCAGACCTGTGAAGTGGCTTTCTCTCCTTAATAGTTCCAATGGTACAAACAAAAGCTGCCAGCTGCCTTTATTTGTCCACAGAAAGGGTTCAAGGAAGAGAGGGAAGTGGGTTCCTTGTTTTAACGATTGTTGTTGGGCTAAATCAATGAAAATTTTGTAGCCATGAGGTAAGGTGGATATTCTGGCCACATGCAACAGATGCTGTTTGGTGACATAATAGTAGAACTTAGCCAATGCCCCCCTTAGGGATAGCATTGTTGTTTTTCAGATCAGCACGCAATGGATTTTGTCCATCTTTATTCTATCCAGGGAGATCTCTTAGAATATGGCCATGGGGATCCAATTCCAGTAGGATTCTGATGCATGGATGATTTTCTTTTTTTTTTTTTTTTTTTTTATGGTCTTTAAGGACATCTTATACGAAGGAAAAATCAGTTTGTAGGGTCTTCATCTCTTGTTCATTTCTTCAAGGGCAGTAGGGGAAATATGTTTGTTTTAAAATATTTGATATACGATAGTTGAGAACTCTTATGGACCTTTTTATATGCACAGCATTTTTACAGCAGTTGGTGGTATTTAAATAGCAAGGTTAATTTAGCCTTTGGAGGTCTTTGCTGCCTCTTCTCTTCTGGTTTTTATAATGGCAATTTTTTTTTTCCATTTTGTATAGAGCAGGGAATGGTTAAAAACCCTGTCAGGTTTTAGTTATTGTCATTTTCTCCCATTGGGGATATTCTAATTAATTTCCTATCCTGTAGACATCTCTGCAAAGTCTGGAAAAATTCCCTCTTGACAGTGCTTCTGTTCTTATTTTGATGACAACTCAAAATTGTGAATTTTACAGAGTGAATTTCCCAAGCGGAGACACTGACAACAATGAAAACCTAACTAAAAACAAAAACAAGTTCTGACGTTCGGTAAACCTTTAATTGATTGCAAACTATGATCTCTCAGGGTGCAATCGCTCATAATTAGTAGTGCTTAGTCTCTGCTTGAATATATGTGTGTGCCAACAAATGAGCAGTAGCTTTGTTTTAAATTGGTCAAGCAGGTCTAGTTAATGTAATGAGATCAATGCTGGGCAAAACCGTAAACTTCTTTAGCCTTGATGATCAAAGTTACTAGAAGGCTGAGCAGAAAAGTGATCCTCTCTGCTTTTATTAAGTAAAATTTTTCATAGGTTTCATAGTCTGAAAATATCAGTCTGATTTATTGGGCAAAGAATATCATCTTTGCTCAAAGTAAATTAGGCAGGGCCTGTTTTATACAATGTTCTCCTGGTACCCTAGGCTACCAACTTTCCAAGTGGAACCAGGGTAAGCAAAGCAGTGAGAACAAAGCTTCCCCATGCATTTGACACTCAGGAGGGTATTGATCATTTGGGACAACTGCCTGCTTCAAATACAATGTTCATGTATGAGTGAGGTCCTATGAACTCTGCTGGGCCATGCAGTTTCTGTGATGTATGTTACAGGCATGCTTTACATACATTACCATTAATCACTATGGAAGAGGGATGTGCTGAAAACCACACCAAATGCAGCAAGCAGGATTTTGTTGATGCACTTCCAGAAGCACCAAAATGCAGAGGTGTGCAACTGCAGTTTGAAGAAACCCATTCAGGGCAAAGTGACAGGCACTCTTGAAAGAACCCACACTTACTGATACATTCTCTGAGCTCCCTTGCACTGCTGTTCCTCCATTGGAGCTGGGACTCCAAATGCCATGTAAGTGCCATGTTTGATTGTGTCAGAGCTTACACAGAGTTAAGGACTTCCTCATCTTTCACATAGGGCAGCGTTCTATTGGCTGCTGAGGCCTGAGTAATGCATCCTAGTAGGAAGGGGAGGAGGTCACATGCTGTGCTTAACTGGAAGGACTGGATATTTCCTGATACCTCCGATAGAAAAACAGAGCAATTGAGGAGCACTTTGAAAGCTAATATCAGCAGGTAAAGGGTTGTTTTTTGCAAAAGAACTTGTCACTTTTGCCCTGAATAGGCACAATGGAAGTGTCTTTAACTCAAAAATGTGTGACTTACATATTTAAGAAAAGAGGAAAAAATGTTTAGTATAATTTAACATTCTACATATGCAAGTTTTATTTTGAGCAAAAATTGTGCCAAACTTGAAGTATGAAGGAAATATAAATGACTTTATTAAAGTTGCTTTGAGACTCGTAGTGAGAAGGGAATAAAAATAAATTGAGCCAAGGATTAATATTATAATAAGCTGTTTTCACATTTTATTTGTAAGGTTCTTGCTACACAAGGAATAATATGATTTAATACAAAATATTCCCCAAAAATGGGACCATTTCCTCCACAGTGTTACCCTTATTGGTGTGCATCTGGATACTTGTTACAGAATACAGACCTTTTTCTACAAGCTACAAGAAGTGCGCCATTTCCACAGCAAAGCACAGCTCCAACCAAAGCTGTGAAGAAGTACAGATTCTTTAGGCTGCTTACTAGCAGTCTTCTTTGGAAACAGCAACTCCCCATCATTTGAAAAGTCCATAAAAATCATATTTGGTTTGTTCAGTTTTCCACAACTTGCCGCAGTTCTTCAAACAAAGGACCAAGCTCTTTCTCTAAGCTGAGTATCAAACCTTCGGAAAGAAAATAAAACAACTAGATTTAAGATAAGCAGGGACCTACAGTGCAACCTGCCTGAGATTTGGTACTCATACACTGAAGCTGTAATGTAGTTAACAGTATATTACAAGTCATGTGACTGGTGATAATGTAAAGCATGTGTACTGTACATCCAACTTGGCTATGCAAAAGGGATTTAGCTGAATGCATTAGTTGGCGACTTGGAAAGTTTATACCTCCCCTGCTAATATCTGTGTCCCCAAAAGAAGGCTGCACAAACAGTCAGTCATACTGGCCAGTCATACTTTGCAGCTGCAATTTCAGGACAGATTGCTTACTTTCAGATATATACATAACAGATAACACCACCAAACAGATCTGAGAAAGAAGAAAAATGAGATGTATATAACAAACATACCTGTGTTGGCATTGCTGCTAGCTATGAAGCTGACAACCAGTGGCAGTCTGTTGAACTGGACTACCTGTGTCACAAAGAAATCATTTAAGACACTGCAAAGTCACGATTCTACAGCTCATACTTATTTAAAATACAAACTACATAGGTTGCTGTTGGTGACTGCTCCTGAAAATGTTTGTTGTAACTACCATTTTTTTCTCCAGGGCCTTTCAGAAAATATATAGAGTGTGGGAGCTCGAAGCAATCATCTAGTTTAAAAATGCACATTTTTACATATATTTGAGAAGCATCAGAATTAGCTTGGGCAGCAAGTGATTAATATTGCAATAAAAAAATACTGCAGTATGGCCACTAGACGGAGCTGACAAATATAGGAGATAATCATATGACAAACAATATGATGATCATTTGTTGTGCATGTGTGAATGCTAAAGACATCCGCATGGCCATTTATTTATTTATTTTTTTTAATAAAGTTTTTTTTATTGAACATTTTACATTACAGAAGTGGTAGATCATATCCATGGTTCTCTGCAGTCTGAGTTAAGAGGGTATACATAGATCACTGAACCTCAAGGTGGTAAACTATCCGTTAGGTCTGTGTCAAACAGAAACTCCATTCGCATATATTAAAAGGAAAATTGCCACCCACAATCCCATCATATGTTGTGAACGGTAGCACAGAATAATGCTTTGTGGTAAAACAAATTTATGCAGCGCTTTACATATATATTGTACATTCACATCAGTCCCCTCAAGAGGCGTACAATCTAAGGTCCCTAACTTACATTCATACATACAAATACTAAGGCCAATTTAGACAGGATCCAATTAACCTACCAGCATGTCTTTGGAGTGTGGGAGGAAACCAGAGGAACCCACAGAGGCACAGGGAGAACATGCAAACTCCAGGCAGGTGGTGCTGTGGTTGGGATTCGAACCAATGACCCTAGTACTGCCAGGCAGAAGTGCTAACCATTTAACCACTGTGCTGTCCGACATGCACATGGTGTCATCAAAATAATTTTATGATCATATACCTAAACTGGATATTATTTTAACTACCTTGAGTTCAGCTTTAAACAACCTTTAACAAGGACAGTAAGGTATTACTAAATATCAGCATAAAATAGAAAAATGAATCCTTGCTTCTGAAGCTTTCTTCCAGTTATGATCTTTCCTGCTTTAGCAGCACCAGTATTTTTTAGATTTTGTTTCCAGTGACACCCGCAGGTAAAACCTGGCACTACATTTACTGATTCGGGTTTAAAGATTGCACATGGAGTACAAGTGAACAAGGCTTAGAAAAAAAGATTTCAGACTATATTATATAACCACTCACCCTGAATGTTCCATTAACTAGGATTTAAACTTTGGTTAGAAAGCGAAAAAATGTATGGTTTAGCATACTCCAATATGTATTATATAGTATTGCTGCAAATATCTCTCAAATAAACCATTTATCAGTACCAGTACTGCACTGGAAAAGCAGCAGAGCACGACAGCAATCTAAATGGGCACACGTAAACATACTAATCGGAGTAAAAATAGGCTGACAGAGTTCAAAGAAACACAGTTACCTAGAGACCATGCAGGGCAAAGTGACAGTCTACAAAGGACATCTCCCCTGACCCCCTTGTAGCCATCTTACATGCCCTTTCTCACAACCCCTTGCTCCTCTGCAGTGAGAATACTTAGCATTCGTATGTGTGTCAAAGCATGTGATCTGCTGCCTTGTGTGCCAGGCCTAGAAGCCAATGACTATGCCAGAGCACTGTCACATGACCAGGCGAGAATTTTTACCACTCCCCCATGTCACTGACCTAGCCAATTTCAGTGCCTCCTGTAGAGGAGCAAGGAAGCGCATGTAAGGCAGTACTGTGTCTTAGTGATTAGCAATTCTGCCTTGCAGTACTGGGTTTCTCATTTCAAACCCAGGTCTGCACACTGTCTGCATTGAGTTTGCAATTCTCCAGTGCTTGTGTGGGTTTTCTCCAGTTTCTTCCCAAACTCCAAACACATTCTGGTAGGGTAAATGTCCAGACTGGTCCCAGTATGTGTATAGATAGGGACCTTAGACTGTAAACTCCTTGAGGGCAGGGACTGATGTGAATGTACAGTATATAAAGTGCACATAAATTGACAGTACTATATAAATACCTGTATTAGGAAATAAGGGGGTCGGGGAGATGTCCTTGTATGAGCCTTTAAGTCCAATGAAAGAGTACAGCCCCTTTCACACAAGGTGAAATCTGCTCGTTCAATGGGGAATCTGTCCGCTGATCCCTCACTAAACAGAGCGGGTGGATGACAGGTCAGTGTCCCCTCATGCACAGCAGACAAGGACACAGCCTGCTCTGCTCTAAAGGCAATCGGAAATAAACAAACCAGCTGTCTGTTAATACCCGACTGCCATTCCATCCGATCCACCTAGATGTGGGAGAACGAATCCCCTTCTGTTTGTTTTTAGCGGTTTGGATTGGATTGGAGGTAGGCAGGTGCTACACAAGTCCATTCGCATCCACCTCTCCATAGAGGAGAATGGAAGATCTAATCAGGTCCGTCTGAAAAACGGACAGATAGACCCGATTGGACCAATTGTGTGGCAGGGGCCTTATAGGACTGTCTGGTTTACAGGTTTTTGTTTTTTTTTTTATTTCACACTCTTGTAGTTGCTCTAGTCACCCTATGCCCAAAGTGGTGCCAAAAACTAGGTGAATAAATACATTTCATTGGTTCTTGTGACGAGGTGTGTGCTGTTGCTTCATTGTGCATTTAAATGACATTCAAGAAATGTAACTGCAAATATTTTTCTTCATTAGTACATAACTTTACTGTAGCTATGGCTAGAACAGCACATACCTGATATGTGTTATAATAGCAGATGATACTTTTGTTTTTGGAGAGTCCCAGTTTACTTCCCTGGTCAGTAGCCAGTGCAAACGTAGATAGGAAACTAGGCCGCAAGGCATACTCCGGAGCGTTTTCATTGGCAACTATTTTGAAATGATCAGAAAGTATTTGTTAACATCTTGTTTTCAGTCTTTTAAACCTGTTTCCAATTCATGATATTTTGTGAGATGCTAGAGAAGAGGCATTTTATACTTAAAGTAAATGTTACTTACAGTAGATAGGCCATGGTTTAGGCTTGCTCAAAAAAGAAAATAATGACCACCAGGCAGGTCTACAGTGGTGACTTCCTAATGGAAATTAACAGACCCTAGCTCATCATTGTGTATCTTAAAGTGAAACTTAACTCTCCTTTTCTTTACAGACAAGGAAGCTGCCATCTTAGTCTCTGTTTAAATTGCAGTTGCCATGGTTGCTGCACATGTGATCAGTTATGACACCAGTCATTTGATGGCTAGACAGTTCAGTTGAGCGCACAAGCAACTGTGACAGTTATGATGCATGGCATGCCTTAAAAATGGGACTAGTTTGGGAAATGGTTAAAGTGGTTTTAAAGGCTCAAGGTTTTTTACCTTCATGCATTCTATGCATGAAAATAAAAAAAATTGTGTGCAGCAGTGCCCCCAGCCCCCTCAATACTTGTCTGAGCCCTATTGCGATTCAGCAATGTGCACAACATCCTCGGCTGTCCCAGACCTCTGCTTCCTCATAGGCAGAGACAGCAAGAAGAAGCCATTGGCTCTCACTGCTGTTAATCACAGCCAGTCAGCCAATGAGGAGAGAGAGGAGGTGGGGCCAAGCCGCAGCTCCATGTGTGAATGAATGGACAAGCAAGGTGCTTGCTATGAGGGCACCCGACAGAAAGGATGAGCCAGGAGCACCACCGGAGAACCTGAGAAGAGGAGGATCCAGGCTGCTCTGTGTAAATCCACTGCATACAGCAGTTAAGTATAGACATGTTTTGTTATTTTACAAGAAAACAAAATGGAACCTTTAGTATCGCTTCAAATAGATGTATTGTGTTCCATTTTAAGGAATAGAACTGAAAGAACAATAATCTGAATCGAAGCTTCTTTAGGCTGGTCTTAAACTGGCCACAGACAGTTCTGGCTAAAGAAAAAAATGCCCAACCCCCCCTTACTGCCAGGATATTGCATTCTGACACCGGGACTTGCTGCTGTCGGAATACACTGGCCAGCGGCAGCAGCTGGTAATCGTAAAAGTAATTTTAGCATATCCCTTCAACAAAAGTCGATCAAACAACTGACTTCTGTTGCGCAGAGGTGGCCACAAGCTGATGGAAACTCAGCTGGTTACTGCTGAACTGGTTGCATTGCGATCAGTGTATGGTCAGCTTCAGGCTAGATTCACACCTCTGCATTTTAGTTTGGCGAGTTACCAAATCCTGTTTGCTGCATCTTAGGTGCAATTTCCAGCAAAACATTTTTTTTTTTAATGTATGGAAGCTACTGCATGTAATAGGCATCTAAAAGACAATACTACAACTACACTGCATATTACAAGTGAATTCAGCTTTAATCCACACTGGTTGGCTGTTACTGTTAAAGAATAATTTGAGAAATTGATTTTTATAATATTAATGGGTGTCATACATTGAAGATCTGCTTTCCTGTGGTATACACTTCCCCTCTCACCTTTAATAACAGGAACACCATCTCGGTCTGAAACCACAATGGCATGAAGCCCTTCCACACTGCAAAACAAAATAATTAGATTGAATGTTTGCTGGATAATTTGTTCAATAGAGGTCACAATAGGCCGCAAGAAAACAACTGCTAAAGACATACTCCGCCATGAAATGTATCTTACATAGAAATTAAATAGATCTAAACCCAACTTTGTTACGTCTTATTCGAAACCCAATTTTGTTAATTTTTATTCATGCACAAACTTTCTTTTGTTTTTCTTTTTAAATGTGTCACAAGGTCCAGTTTATCAGGAACTGACAATATTTTTCTGTATTTGTTCTTGAAACATTTGCTATTAGAAATGGAAATCCAGTGCCAGTAGTTTTTATCACAGAGCGAAAGAGAAAAATCTGCATCTCCGAGCTTTTCTAGAAGGGTATATACATTGCACTTTTAAATGCATGTAGCTTGCATCTGATACAAGTTTGAGAAATTTCTGAGTTTCATTTGATTTGCTTAACAGAGGAATTTGAATTTTCTTTTTGTAATTTTTTTTTTTTTTTTTTTAATTATAGGTTCAAAAAAGCTACAACAGAACTGCAGCTGACCCTGCCTAAAGCTGGCCATGGATGGATTGAATCTTGGTTGGTTCAGCAGGGACCAGACGAGATTCAATCAATCTATGGGCAGGCTGATTATATTGAAGTCGATCCATCAATGAACTTCAGTACAACCAGCCTGCTGGATTTTTAGCATGCAATGATTGTGTTTTGTCCAGTGGGAAGACTCCCTGCTGGCAGAACATGACTGCTTTGTGGGAAGGATTCGCCCCATCAATACTGACTGTGTGGATGGAGGAATCAAGCAATTTTAATTTCCAATGATTAGAATGCAGTTCTATAGCAAGCAAACGTATGTGTACACACAAAAAAAAATGAAGGTACTGCAGCTTACCAGTCTTTAGAAATGGTGGCTGCATTAGTTTTCATTTCAGGCACTTTGTCTTTGTTTTCACCTTGTGATGCTGCCAGTAAAACACCTCCTCCCTTTTCTGTGGTGCAAGCACGCATAGGGGTTGATTTACTAAAACTGTAGGGTGCCAAATCTTGTGCAGCTGTGCATTATAGCCAATCAGCTTCTAACTTCAGCTTGTTCAATTAAGCTTTGATTAAAAAAAAACTGGAAGCTGATGGCAAGATCTAGCGCAGCTCTGCATAGAAACCACTCTCCAGTTTTAGCAAATCAACCTTATAGACTTCAGAAGTGGTACAACTCTGCTCTGAATTGAGGTGCAATGCAGCAGTATTGCCACATCATCACAGAAAAGTGCATTAGGTGGATTTCACTAGCAGGATTAACAGGTATATGATGGAGTTTGCATGGGGACTGAGAAAAGAGAAAACTGTAAATGCAGTTATAATTAAATGTCGAAGCACAAATTTTTTTTAACAGGAGATGGGGGACTTAACCTCCTTAGCGGTGTTCCCGAGTGTAGCTCGGGGTAAAATTTCAATACCAAAAAGCAGTAACCCTGAGCTACACTCGGGTTTACCATGCGGCGTTGCTCAGGGGGTCCCTGCAGCACTTACCTTGTCCTTCGCTCCTGCGATGTGTCCCCTGCAGTGTCCCTGGCCATCTCCTCCGGCCGATGCCGGCATCCGGCTTCCGTGTTCCGGTCCCTGTGATGTTGGGACGTACGGGCGCCGGAACCGGCAGGAAATTAGAAAATTTTAAAAAAAATGTCATTTTTGCTGTCATTGCTGTTTCAATGCATTTCACATATATTTTGTCCCTACTGCTTTGTCCTGTGCCCTGCCTGCATTTTGACTGTTTTTTCTGCCTGGAAACTTAGAAAAGTCCGTGCCGTCCAAAAAGCATCCCTTTACGTCAAAAGCGGTTTTAGAACAGCGATAGTAAATCAGAACCACTTGCAGAATTGAGTGATAATGATTCATGGGGAAATTCGTCATCAGACACTGAAAACGATTTTGCGACTTTGCTCAGCGATGTGCGAATTTGCCTCTATATTTCAAATTTCAGTGTTTTTGGTTTGATTATATTATTGAATTAAATTTATTATTTTTTATGATTATTTATTAAATTATAATTTATGATTTTGTGTTTCAAATTTTATCATACCCGGGATGTTTACTAGACTCTTGTTCGTACAGATTTCAGTGAGTTATTCCTAAAAATTACAGCCTACAATAAAAAACTACATATTTCCATGCAAAAAACTGGTACCACTTTCAGCACAAAAAAATCGAAAAGAATCATACCGCCAAGGAGGTTAAATATGCCACATGTACTGCTGTCAGTATATAAACAAAAGCCGGCTTACCTAGGAAGCTTTTTATAGAGGAATCTCCTTAACTCCTGTGAAGCAAAAAGTGTTATAGAACGGTCATACTCATGTGATCATTGTCTGATAAAGTGTAAAGTTTCTTCACAGCCAACAATGGAATGTTCACACAAACCAGTTTTGTATCATTATGAACATAGCATTGTTATTACCACACACAGCCGTAGACCTCTGCAATGTTTCTGCAAGCAAACTTTACGCATTTCTCACAGTGACTAGTTCAATAATACACACAAATATTTTCTCCTTTATTTTCACCTGGTGATCTGGCCAGAAACACACTTCCTGTTTTAGGGTTCCTCCTCTATTTATGGAGGAGCAATGGAGTTACCCATGGACAGCAGCATTGTCTTGAGAGGGGGGTGTTATATGGACTTCCATTGTTGGCTGATGGACTTTACCATAGGTCAGGGGTGGGCAACTCTGGCCCTCCAGCTGTTGGTGAACTACAAGTCCCATCATGGCTCTGCCTTTGGGAGTCATGCTTGTAACTGTCAGTTTTGCAATGCCTCATGGGACTTGTAGTTCTCCAACAGCTGGAGGGCCACAGTTGCCCACCCCTGCCATAGGTACAGTAACTAATATATTAAAGCCTAAAAACAGCAGTTTTTAGGTACAGAAACAGTTTTTTCCCTTTTGGCATAAAGATTTTAACTAAATGAATAAAAGCTGACAACTGTAAGCACGCCTGTCATTATTAAATGGCTTGCCCTAACCCTTAAAGTGGTTGTAAACCTCTGAATTAAAAAAATGAACAAAGCATATCCTTCTACAGTGTGCACTTGCTTTGATCCAAAGCACTCAGTGTGATTTCTAACTTTTCTCACCTCCTTCTGCTATTTGTATGAGTCACTTCTGATCTTTTATCCAGATACCAAGCAATCTGAAGAGACCTCCCCTCCAGCACACAGAAGGTGACCAATAGCCCTATTTGTGCATGTTTCCCTATGAGACTGTGTAGAGGAGCGAGTGCCCATTCCCTTCACTCAGGTCTCATATTACACTCAGGTTTACTCTATATGCTGTGAATTGTGTGACATCAGGTCCCTGCCTTCTGAAGCTCAGAAATGCTGAGCAAACTGTGCACCTTGAACAACTGAAAAGGTGAGAGGGCTTCAGATAAACAGGAACAACTTATGTAGGAGGATTTGTTTGATTTCTATGTATTACCTGAGGTTAGTCAATTCAATGGGTATATATAAGGGTTTACACTTCCACTTTTGCTATGCACAGCTTGGTATGGTAAAAAGGAAGTTGAAAGATAACAGCAGGAACAACAAGCCAAAAAATAAAACAAATAACTTACAGGAAGGACTCAGAAAAACAAAGATTTCTTGGTAATGTTAGTGACAGACTATGTCATTTTTTTTTGCCTTTAGTACCACTTTAATGCGGGTTCTAATAAAAAAAAAAAAAATATGATGTTCTCACTGTCCAAACCTTTAATAGGACATCGTCCAAGAAGAATTTTTGAGAAGACACATCCTGTTACCTGTAAACACCTGCCACCATACTTCTGTAACCAAAAATCTCCAGGTTTTAAAGGATCAGAGCATTTTGAAACAGTAAACTGGATGATTATATAAGCATGTTAAAAGGCATTGAACAGTGTTGTGTTCTTAACCATCGCATGGAAAAAGATGGTTATTTATACAGCAAACTATTAGATATTTGCTTTTGCAGAAAGCTCAGTTTTCAGGTAGATAGATTTAAAAAAAACAACAAAAAAACAAAAAACTTAAGAGACAAATAATTAAAGTGGTAATAAACTCTAATTTTTTATATGTACCCCCAGGAAGTTTATGCAATAATGTGATATTTTTAGCACATTATGGCAGACTTGCTTGTCAAATGCAGCCCTCCAGCAGGTCAGGGCACTTCCATCTTCGCCTTCCTTCCTTCCAGGTTTGCTCTCTCCGGCGTTTGAAAGGCTGGACGGCGTTGACATCACTCCCCCATGTGCACATATGAGTCACTTCACCGGGGCACAGAGCAGGTGCCATTAATGTCTGAGTTGCGCATGCACAGCTCAGTGTACATTACCACTGACAAGCTGGGAAAGGCATCTATGACAGGAGATCACTAGGTTCTCTCCCCTTTTATAAAAACCCTGCCTGTCAGTGGGATTCTACATTTTGAGTTCAATATCACTTTAAACCTACAAACACTACACTTCCAAAGCTTGCAATTTAAAGTGCATGTTTGCAACTAAAGTAGGCTTATCAGAATTGCAATAGAAGAACAATAAAGTAAATCCGTCATGAAGCCTTGGTTCACACCATACACCGCATGTGAATTTTACAGGAACTGGACCACAATACTGTGCAATTCACATGTGCTTCAGTGCGGTGCAATTGGAGCCCATTCATTTTAATGGGCTCAAATTGCATTGCACCAAAGATGTGCATGCACCAATTATGGAGCCGCATTGCAACCAGATTGCATGGTCATTTGACTGTACACTGTGCGATCCGATGCAGGCAAACACATTGCATTTGAGACCTGCGTTTGAGGTATTAAGATTGCACTGACACCTGCTGCAGATTGCATTGGCAGTGCAACTGGAATTTGGTGCAGGAAATGCGCACGGGTTGTGGCATTTCCTGCACCGCATTGGTGTGAACCTAGGCCAACACACTATTTTTAATTAAGTAGTATTTGGAAAGGGCATCCAAAAGTGCCTATATTAAAGCAGAACAAAATATACCTATTTAATGGTTTCCCAAAACAGTTAAAAACAAGGCTTGGCATAAAAGATAACTGTTACCCTTACTAGTGTGCTTATGTTAGGTTTTACCTGGACTGTCAGGCCGTCAAATGGCTGGTGACATAACTGATTACAAGTTCAGCACCATTCTGCAAATAAATAAAAGCTTCCTATGACTGGCTGAGTCAGATCATGATGTCATCACCCCTCCATAGGAGCTTTGTATTCATTCATAGAATATAATGCCTTCTGTGAATGTCTGAGCAGCGTTAAGCCAGACTCAATCTTGTTCTGGGAGTGAAGCGGGAAGTCCCTCTTCCACTGCAAGAATACAGCACAGTATACTGTATATCGGGGCGGACTGACAACTCATGGGGTCCCCGGGCAATAGGGGATCATAGGGCCTCTGTGTCTTTGCCCAAACTCAAAAAAGCCTATGAACAAGGTACCAGGGGTATCTCATGGGGCCCCCTACTGACCCCGGGCCCTCGGGCAGTGCCCGAGTTTCCAAATGGTCAGTCCGCCCCTGCTGTATATAACAGAAACTACATACTGTTAATATAGTGCACCCAACAAGCGTACCAGTGCAATACATTGTTTGAGCCAGGAAACATTGATAACGGAGTTAGGCTTCAACTACATGCATAAGTATAAAGCAGAACCTCTGATATTACTGGTAGCCTGCATATATCAGTGGTATATACCAAGGCTTGCTGCTGAGGTCATTACAACCCCCAAGTTCCAAATGTGAAGACATGGTTGTGTCATCTGATGTACATTAGACTTCATTCATCTTCATCGAAGGTTCTCTTTAAACTATACACACGTAAAAAGTTTTAAAACTCCTGCCGTCTAATAACTGTCTTCCAACGTCTTAGTATATAGCTTGTTATGTCCAGCCATTAATTGGTAGCAACTTTCAGAATTAGGAGTTTATTCACACTATATGTGGTGATTTATTTTTTTCTGCAAAAGAAAAAAAAACAGATCACTGCTAGGACACATAGAAAACAATTGTTTCTATGTGCCCCATTCACAGCACAATACCAGTGTGATGTGTAGTACAGGGCAGAAAAATACAGACATGCCATCAAGGAATGGGACTAGATCTCTCAGAATTCATCATTCCTACTCCACTTTAAAAGATAAGTTCACCTCTTGACCAAAAATAATGAATGCACATTTTTTTTTGCAGGTAAAAAAAAAAAATGCATTTATTATTTTCGGCTGCAGGAGCCTGGAAAGCACTGCAATCAGCAGATCACTGGTGCCATGCAGGTCTCCTGCAGACCTGTCAGTATAACTGCTTGTCCATACGGGATGTCTGGGCAAGCAGATATACTGACAGGAAGACTCAATGAACTACCACGGCGCTCCAGAGCACCGTGGTAGTTCATTGAGAACTACAAGCCAACAGCCGCTAAGGCTGTTGGGGCTTGTATTTCAGTCATTTGCAGGACACTGTGAATGAATGACAAGGCATAGGCCTGCATAGCTGTGTTGCTTGTACAGGAAACCCCAAACGTCTGTCACAGGGAGGGTGGGCAGCGACTGCAGCATTGGTAACATGTTTCACCCTAAAAATGGGTAAAACATGTGCCCAATGGTGATCTTCTCATTTAAGGTATACAATCTCTCTCAATAGCCTTACCGTATACTGCAGCTACATATGCTCCATGTTGGAGGGAGAGGGGAGGTGGTCATGTGATGAAACATGGGTCCTCTACGTTTTGTGACAAGTCAGGGAACCTTCCTGATTTTATGTCTCTCTACAAATTCATTAAACTTAGACATACTCATTACAGAGCAGTAGAGGGGGTCCTTGTATTTTTTTATTTCATCAAAATGGTATACACTGAATTATCCTTGAATCTACACATGAATGCGCGAAGGGCACTTACCTCAGCCATTGCTTATTGCAGATCACGGTCACCTTTACCTGTGGGCAAAAAAAATAAAAGAATCCTGAGACTAATGATCAGTGTCTACATTATAATCAGATCATTTCAGCCCCCACTACAGAACTCTGTGTTGTACAATCTAATCTCATGAATGGGAGTTCATTCATTCCAGCACCAAGGTTTGACAAGTTAAATGAGCGTTGTCTGCGCAAATCAGTGTACATTCTAAAGAAGATGTGAGCAGGCAAGTCCATTTTTTTTATTGCAGATGAGCCATATATTTAGGTTGTTTGTGATTTTTACTATCCCAGCTACTGTATCCAGGTAGAATATACCTTGTTTTTGCAGGATAAATTGGACTTTCACTTTGAGTAACGGATATCTATGATTTATTGTTTATGTATTTAT